TTTTAGAGGCTGACTATTGGGAAAAAGTAAAAAAGTACTGAAGATTTTTATTTGGTACATTATTTATATTAAAACTATAATAAATGATTGATCGAACTATGTGGTACATTTTTTTATCCGACCTACTCTGTACGAATAACTAATATTCAAAAGTGAAACTCGGTAAAAGGCTGACTGCTGCTGCCTTTACCCTGTATAATATATCTTTTTGCCGTAGAGCCATCTATGAGAAATCATGAATATTATATAAAATTATATATTTGGAAGCAATAAACGAAGGTCAGGCGAGTTCATGTTTAATATTAATAGCCATGTTTGGTTGTTTCCTTGACTTCCAGATTATCCTTGGAGCGGTGAGGGCCAACGGCCGAGGGCGATCAAAGGCGGACATCAAATTTTGATGTCCGTTGTTTACTTGCTCGAGTTATTACGGTCCAATCAATCGCTTTACAGCGTATTGCGACACAGTGTAGACAAGAACACAGTATGGGACATTTAGGTGATTATGTTATTGTTGTGATCCGGACGTAGTTGGAAGTGCTTACTGCTTATTCATAATTACGTGTGTAATAAATTTAATATTATATGTATTAGCAGTATGTTGACTACGTTGTCTTATGTCGCAAAAAAATAATCTATTCATTTATGTTGTACTCCTTTCTGTCATGATAATAACTTACTTGTTATAATATCACTTTTTTTTTTGTTTTATCTTAGAGGGTACGTACTTATTGTACAACATAATATATATTCAATAACAAAGGTAAGAAAACAGTTAACCGTTAATAGAATTTAAGTTAAATAAGATATGCATATTTTTACACTCATGGCCCCGCACTAGGGTAACCCATATCGCGGGTGCCATGGAGACACACATAGACAACCATAAACTACGCCCAAACTTACAAGAGAAATAAATACATTTATTCATAAAAATATGTCACCCCTGTCCGGAAATCGAGCCCGGGACCTATGCGTGGTAGATAGGCAATAGTAGCCGTGCAGTGTTAACACAATCAGTTAAGAATAATAAAAAAAACAAAATTTAAGATAAAAACACAAATTCGACATTGTGACACTTCGAGCAGTTGATAAGTGTCATATACTACTAACCTATAATGGTATTAATCATTGACTTACAAATAAATGGACGACGGGTCTAATACAAAAACCACGAAAAAAATGTCCCAAGTCAACCTATTCGAAATTTAAATTGTTATGTCATCGCAGTATCGCGCTGTCCGTAGAACAAATGAAGACTAAAGCGGAGTGTCGCGCTCTGTATACGATTTTAGCGCCTTACAAGTGCGGACACTTTTTAGCGCGGACCCGACGTCCATATAATTGTAAGTCAATGGTATTAATATAATAATATAACATTATTGCAATTTTGCGCAATTTTTCGTAACTCCGTGTAGAATACATCAAAATGTTCTCCGTCTTCTTGAATTCGCTTGTTAAAAAGAAACGTGTTTATTATCTCGTTCGTCTTGGGTTTAAAATGTTCTTCGAAAATTGCAATGACTTCTTCCAGTGTCTCGTTTCCATCTCCCGTTTTCAAGGTGTTGAAGAAAAGTTCTTGTGCAGGTTGACCAATGCAATTCAACAAAATGGCAGCTTTTCTATTATCTACTACCTTATTAAGACCCGCTGCAGACACAAAAATCTTGAAGCTTGCTATAAATCGCTTCCATTGTGGATATAACTGATCTAAATTGTCTAGATCGAGAGGTGCGGGCATGCGGTATTCCACGCCCGCCATGTTTGTTTCTTCGAAATCTCTTTCCACCATATATTATTTGTGCGTAAATTCTTTAGAACGGCTGCGCCATGTATTATTATTAGTTTGTATTAAAAAAATACTTTTGGGAACACAAGATGTTTATTATACTTTTTAAACTTATGATAATTTTTAGTGACTATACAAATATATTGACTGACTCCAAATTGCGGCCTTCTGTCAAAGTGACATTTTTATTTTTATAAAACGGGTGCGTTCCGTTTTACTATACTTATATCTACATATTTATAATTATATAACCGACAGAAAATCCATAAAACACGTATATCACTATTATGTGAACGAAAAGTAATTATTAAAATAGTAACTTATTACTATCGAAATTGTTGTAATAATGTAATCGTTTAGACTCTAAAATCTCTCGCTGCTCTGCAGATTACGGGCCAGCGCCAACCCCATCCTGACGACAGTGGTAGGGAGATAGGATTCCCCCATTATGCGCCATTTCCTTCAGGTGCTTGTTAGCAAAAGGTGTTTGTGAGAAAAAAAAGTTGCTGACAAACACCATTAAATATTAGTATTAAGTATTATGTCTGCTCTTGTTTGTTTAATTTTTTTACTAACATAGTCACTAAGAAAACTGTTACTGACCAATTTATGGACCCCGTGGTCTGAATTAAAGACAAAATAAATAAATAAAAATCCGAGGATTGTTTTATTGTACCACAAGAGTGTCTTTACAAGATTTTGACGATTCTTTTTTGTTGGAAAGAAGGTACCTCATATAGATCTCACTTAAATTTGAAAAAAACCTCCAAGTGTGGCAAACTACGGGTGAATTCGGTTTCGCGCACCTTCCCGTACCCGATTCCAATAAAACTTCCCAAATAGGTGTAATTCTACAAACTTTTGAAGTCGGTTTTTTTCTACAAAACAATAATTAATACTTTGGCCAATAAATATCACTCGTTTGACATGAGACACTCACGCGCAATGCGACAGTGAATAAAGAATGTATAAGGCCATAAAGTATTTTGCTTTTCGCTTTCCTAATGATAGAATAAAACAATTGTATTATGCTTGACATAAATATGTGCCTCTGGCATCTTCACGCTATGTAATTCCCTTATTGTTATTTTTAATTTCACATTCGTATAACACAAAGGCAGGAATTTGTGTTATTTATACCACCAGCGAGCCTTTTTTTTTCAATTTAGGTATGTTGTCATGCCGCCTTCCGGAAGGTCTTAAGAAGCGTTTTAAAAAGCAAAAACTACAGCCCCTAAAGTTTAAGCCCACTTACGCGAGGGACAAACTTTACGAGCATGAGAAGTAAAAAAGCACTTTTATCTACAAAGAGCACTAACTTCTGACTTATCCAATGGTTTCATGGGTAATTTAATTAAATAAGAATGTTTTACTGTTTCCCGCCGTGAAGTCTTTACGAGCGGCGGAATCTCGCGTTGCTCGTTCGAAACTACGACATCATTGACGATTTACGATGCCTGTCTAACTTTATTACTATCTCATGCTGTTACGGTGACTGCGTTTAGTAACAGAAAAGCATTGCAAGCACCTTCTTCATTAGTATAGTATAGTCTTTCTCTGTTTAAAATTGTATATTAAGGAGACTGCTGTATTTCTTTAGAATACTCCAAACTTCATTATAACCTGAAGCATCGAGTATATAACCAGAAATAGAGATGAAATGAGGGTCATCTATCGCTGGCAACTTATCAGGCAAATGAGCCTTATATCACTTTTAAGTATCAACTCTCGTTTGCACAAATTAGAAAGTTGAAATAGTACAGCGCCAACAACTGACCTGTGTGTACGTCTCCGTATATTCCAAAAACAGTCTGTATTTATTGTAATAAACATAATATATATCTCTAACAATGGGGGGCTATCTCACACCATCAACCACTAACATCTAATTACAAAACAAACGGAATCACCTTTGATCGGTAATCAAATATTAAATATGTATAGGAAATGTAACTATTTTTCCGGATTTTAATCGCGTATATTTATTTTTTCAAACAAATCGACGTTTCGGACCCTTTACAGGCCTCATGGTCACGCTTGATTGACGTGTATTGACTGGTCCTTCTTAGTCTAACCGACTAAGAAAAATAGATGCCCTTCAGAATAGAATAGTAAAATTCATAATAAAATGTTTTATTTGTAACCTTTAATATATTGTATATACATATTCAATCTTTAATAATAAATATAGACATATTTAAAGTTACTACCTACTTCACTTCGTATTTTTGTAGCTGTCAAAACATTCTATACAAAAATTTTCTTTTTCACTAAAATAATGTATGTAAGTAAGTAAGTAATAAAGTGTGTCTTGTCCTTTGCCTCAAAGGCCACCTATACCGAAAAAAATCGAGGCGACTATCCTATTCGATATAGATAGATGCACTTTTATTATTTAACTAAGCTATGTACAAAAAAGCGATTATTAACACTTAGGTGCGCAGTTAATGCACCAGTGTATAGTTATAATAAAAATAAAACGGAATTTATTACAACTTACAAAGTTATGCGACAGTAAATATACTTGCGTCTGAAATTTTGAACCGTTTGTCATGTCCGTCGCGGAGATAAACGCATGCACAAGCCAAATGCGTCTATTCCACACGAAGCCCCGCAGGAACTTTGATGAGTGGTGTCTATACTCCGTATTTAAACTAATTATTCTTTGTTGCGATTTGGGGAAGTTAGGTTTTTTGAAAACGAGACACCTATCCCACTGCGCCATCTATCCCGATTTTACTATATTAAACATGCTTATTTGATTAGTAATAATTATTACTAGACAATACAAATATTGAAGATGTTACTTGAAATATTTGTTATATTAACCGTCTATGTCCTTGGCATCAGAAAACAAATAGAAACATAAAATATCTCAAGGATCCCCCGGTTATTTAGCAAAATTACCAAACAAGGAATTCCAGCGAGATGGATGATTTGCACCCATATAAAATTGTTTTGATAAGGCTCCGGGTCGCGTCCTCGTCGGTTATGAAACTGCATCCACCGTTCAAAACTTCTTACGTTTTTGACCCGAAAATATATATTTTCTTATTAATAATAATAATAATTAATAAATCATTTATTTGGCATCCAAGGCACACTTGTTAGTAAAATACAGACACTTTTAAACTTATGACTATAGTTAGTAAACACAGAGACAAAACACAAAACATAAAAACACACATTATTACGCTCGAGGCACCGCCGATTATCCCATCACCTCACCAGAACCTGGACGAAATGACGAAGCATCGGCGCATCGAGCTTTCAGGATGCTGCTAGGACTAGAACGTAGTCTAGAGAGTAGTGACGCCGTCTTTTTTCGCATCTCAGCAAAAAAGTAGTCTACTCCCGCTTGAGCAAACATCGACGATGCGCTACAATGTCGCGGCAGTCCCAACAGCGTACTGAAACCGTTATTATATTGAACGCGCAGGGCGCCGAGTGCCTTATGCGTATAGTTAACCCATAGACCACCTGTGTAGAAGAATTGACAATACGCCTTGAATAAAGTTATTTTGGCTTCCTCACTACAGCGGGCGAATCTATGTGCCAACATATTACATCTGGCAGCCAACGCCCTGCGTTCACGATCAATGTCAGTTTGGTCTCTAAGATCCTCCGCCAAGTAATGTCCTAGATATTTAAATCTGCTTACCCTCTTTAGCGCCACCTCATTTAGATTTATTTTAGGTTCATAAGACATCACACTACCGGGGATCCCAAAGATCATAAACTCACTCTTGACACAATTGTATACAAGCCCGTGAGTACTTGTACCCGCCGTTGGATCCAGCAGCACTATATAGTCGGCATAACTGATGTTATTTACGCTGATGCCGTCGATACGACATCCGACAGGCTTACTGCTGAGTCCAACGATCAGCTCGTTTACGTACAGGTTGAAGAGCTTCGGCGAGGTCAAACCCCCCTGCCTCTCTATTTCTCTATTGCTTTCATAGGTTGGATAAAAAATACATCCTCAAAGCAACAATTTCACGCTCATGTATTTATTAATTAAAGAGTTTCAAACAGTGTAGAGTCACCAGCACATCAAGCTGCACACTTTTGTTCGAATATCTCCTCCAGTGCCAAGGAACAAGATTCGTCAATGTGTAACTTGATGAGCTCAAAGGGTCGTATTCCAGTACTCTACTCAATACTCAAGTCAGGACTTGAGTATTGCAGTGAGCACTGAAAATCATACTCAAGTCCTTGCCATTAGGGTCGTATTTCCAGTGCTTGAAATCACACTCAAGTCTGTTCAAATCCTGACTTGAGCATTGAGTAGAGTTCTAGAATACGACCCTAAGAGTGGTTGCACACTTTCAGCAGTGATGCAAGCGCGCGTTCTATAGGCGATTGCATCGATGCAGTCGCGCATTTGCATCGCAGCTTAACGTCGCGCTTGTGTGTAAAGGTAGACAATTAGCTACTGCATCGCGTTTGCATCGTTTGTATACAATTAAAATTCAATATTTTTTTGTCAAATTGCTCCACTAGTTACAATTGTTAATACATAGAGCGATCCGGCCGGATTCGAACCGACGTCTTCTAGCAAACCGTGCCAGACGCTATGCCAACTAAGCCACAGAACGAACCAGTGGACCTCACTAATCTCTTATACTCTTCTCTTGCTACGTGCTTGTTGTTGCATCTTTGTATTTGGTTTTTCAACGACTTTTTAGCCTTAATGCTGTCTATGAGAAATCTATGAAAGTATTTCGTCACTCAGTTAGGTAACTTTATAGCTACCAAGCCCTGGCTAGAGATGTCGCTATTAACTGTGTTTAAATTTGTATCGAAAAAAATTCAATAACTTTTTGTATAATACTCCACTAGTTTGTTATATTTATTAATACAAAGATGACGATATGGCGATCTTAAAATTTAGCAAATGTTCATCAACGTAGCTACGAATTATCCCTCATCATCATCCCAACTAAATTAGCCTTCAAATGAAAACACCACTTTGAGACCAGTTTTTCAGTTTGGGAGCTACGATATACACTACGACCATTGACTTACAATTATATGGACGTCGGGTCCGCACTAAAAAGTGTCCGAACTTATAGGGCGTTAAAATCGTATACAGAGCGTCATTCGCGCTTTAGTCTCCGTTTGTTCGCCTGACAGCGAAGCAAGCAAAATTAGACAGTACTGCGATGACATTACAATTTAAATTCAACGTTTTAGCTTTTTCATATTCCTTTACATGTCACTACGTTTAAATAGGTTGACTTGGGACATTTTTTTCGTGGTTTTTGTATTAGACCCGTCGTCCTTTTATTTGTAAGTCAATGACTACGACAAACAAACACATAGACAAACGCCCTTTCTTCACTTATACATTTTTCTACGAAGATAAAGTATTCATATGTTATTCCAGACGCAAGCAACTCCTTTCTAAACTTTTATATTAGGTTAGCAAAACAACAACATTTACTCACTAGGTCGGAAAATCACTTTCTGTATGCTTCATCTTTATACAGGTTTATTTATGTAAAATACTAGCAGCATTTCGAGACTATATTCCTAACGTCATAAACAACAACTATTGTACCATGACTTATAACAAAGTGTAAATTTACCAACAACAAACTTAGGCTTTTGTTGTACTATCTGACAATTTGTGTTTGGTAGGTAAAGCGTGCAAGCGTCCCCGACCACACCCACCGTTCCTGCGTTTTGAATCTTTCTTTTGTCACCGCACAGAGCTATCACCGTTTAGAGCGAACTTTTTTTTATGCATTCGTTGCCTAATAAGGGTTCTTAAAGTTGAAGCCTCGTGGCCTAAGTAATTGACATGAGATTTTAAGACCTAATTATGTAATCATTGCATACAATATTTTTTCTACGAGTAAATAAAATAACGAAACAAACAATGTTTAATGTGTATTTTGTTAACAATCCATGACAACAAACTCGAAAGAAAGCCAAACAAACGCTACAATCGAAAAAAACAAAAGAGAATAGAAGTGCCCAAGCACAGCTTATATTTTAACCAATCTTTTTTTTAAAAAAGGTTTATAGCCCGGTTGCAAGACTTTAGGGCAATTTAACCAATTAGGAGGCAGGTAAAAAAGGTCAAAGTCAAAGTCAAAGATCATTTATTCCATAGGTAAAATAAATTTACACTTGAAAACGTCACATTTACATTACATTATATTAAGCTACTGCTCGTTCACTACGCTGACTTCCTTGAGAAGAACGAGCAAGAAACTCTAGGGATTGCTCTTTTCAAATAAACTTAAATGCGATGGAATACACTTTGAATCAAATTTGTGTGGATTCTGGAGCCATGTCGTCTTTCCATACATCTTTATCTAACACGTAGTCTTCAATTTCGTAATATGACTTTTCGATCAAAATATTTTTAATGTAGTTTTTAAACTTAGGAAATGATAAACGTAATATGCTCCGGAATCTTATTGTGAAAACGTATACAGTTCCCCATAAAAGAGTTGTTTACCTTGGTTAAACGAAATCGTGGTACCATGAGTTTGGACTTAGCTCTAAGGTTAATATTATGGATATCTTCTTTCTTATTGAAATTATGTATATTTTTACGGGCATATAAAATATTTGAGTAAATGTACTGTGATGCCACAGTCATGATACCAGTATCCTTAAACTTTTCTCTGAGAGAAACCCGAGAGCCTAGACGGTACATAGAACGAATTGCTCGTTTATGTAATACAAATATAGTTTGAATATCTGCCGCTTTACCCCACATGAGAATCCCGTAGGACATTATACTATGGAAGTAACTAAAGTAAACTAGTCTAGCAGTACTAACATCTGTAAGCTCACGTATTCTGCGGACTGCGTATGCAGCGGAGCTTAATCTGCTGGCCAGGGAAGATATATGTGGAAACCATTGAAGTTTACTATCTAAGGTCACTCCCAAGAAGACTGCTTTATTAACAAGGTCTAACTTTTCTCCGTTTATTTCTATGCTTGGACTAGTCTATTGTACGTTAGGTAATTCAAATTTAACACATTTTGTCTTCTTGGCATTAAGCAATAAATTGTTAGCATTAAACCAATAAACTACCTTAGAGAGGGTATCATTAATATGGTCATAGTTAATGTCATGTCTGTCTGTTTTAAAAATCAAGGATGTGTCATCAGCAAACAATACTATTTCGCAATGGTCCTTAATAAAGAATGGCAGATCATTAATATAAATCAGAAATAAGAAAGGTCCAGGTATTGAGCCCTGCGGAACACCCATTTTTACCGGAGAACCCAAAGAAGTCACTCCATTTATGTCTACTTTCTGAATTCTACCGTTGAGATATGACGAGACAAGTTCCGACGCTTTGCCATTTACACCGTAATGTAGCTCTACATTTTGTTTGAGATGTTGAGTAGCGTCATATCATTGTTATTTTAATTAACAAAAATACGACGTTCTCTTTTTGATAATTTGAGTACCATAGACAATAAAATTTTGATTTTGACAGATTAAAATACAGGTGTAGAAACATATTTTTATTTTTGTACGAAAGAAGAATGTAATTAAAAATCATGGAACAACAACAGTAGTTGTGGTTTATAATGTTAGTAATATAGTCCTGGGAATGATTAGTATTTTGCAACTGCGTGGATAAGGGTCTAATTCAAATTTGTTGTGCGTAATGCGTAATGTTTATTTAAAAATGAACTTTGCGAGAATAGTTTTGGTTAAATAAATTATAATACACGTGGGATGATCCTTCTGTGACGAAGGCTTACTAATTTTGTAACCTAAAACATTTACTTCACGTTTTGCAAACAAACTTTTGTAATTTATTTATCCTACAAAAGTAGAATAAAATATCATATTATTATTTAAATTAGTTATATTGGAAGGTGTTTTTAATATCTCCCCTTCGCCACTTCCATAAAAAGACCTCTTGTGATATTTACGTTACTTGTTTGTGTTGTTATTGCGTGGAAGCATTATGATTTGACCTACCACCTCTCAAACAGAGACCGTGGATCTGAACTCGAATTCGCACCACTGACTTTTTCGGAATTTATGTACTATGGCCTTCCCTGGCCTGAGAAGAGACCTATACCGAGCAGTGGGATGTATCAATGAATTAATGATGATATACACTAACAACATAATATATATTCTATTCTAACAATGCGTAAAATTCTTAGTAGGGGAAATTTTGTAACGTGGGATATAGCTATGACAAGACGGATTCGCTGTTCATTTTTTTAAAACCTGCTAGAGGTAGTCCCAATTTTCGCACAGCGGATTATACTAGACTGTTGTTTAATGTACTTACAAACTCTACATAGAACTGAGGATCAACAGATGTGTCTGGATGCTAATAATTGTTACACGAATGGCTCTGTTGGCGAGAAACAAGCTGCGAGGGGGCGGTAATAGGATTAATTTATCACAATGCTGCCAGCTTCTCGCCCGCTCGGAGTGCAATCGCCAGCTACTCTCGTGAAGCCTTTTAGAGCTGCCTTTATTACCATAGTGATTTATCCGGTACACAGCAAATTTGCAGGGAAACTGTATGACATTTGCATTTTGTTAATTTCTACATAGGACTATGTAATAGTAAATATATCGAAAATAATAGATAACCTTAAATTTATTTAGGAGTGCATTCTCCATCGTGGACCTCATCGTCACTTTCCATCATTCGGTTTTTTATTTCCGAACTTTTTTATAAAAAATCTTCAAAATTTCAGGGAAAATTTTAACATTGTGTTTTTGAAATTGCCGTAGTGTGGTTATACATGGCGACATTTAGTAGTGATGAAAACGAGCGTTCCGAACGCGCGATTGTGTCGATACACTTGCGATTTATAGGCAATGGCATCGATGCAAAAGTTAATTGTTAATTGTTTGCAAATTTAAGAGTGACATTAAATAAATAAATTAGTTAATTAATTTAAAACGTGCATCGCTTTGCGTCACTGCTTCAAGTCTCCG